CTTAGGCGGCGAATCACTTTTGAGCGACAGCTACAATAAGTAATGTTTATCATTCAGGTGAGGTTATTCGTTTATGTTGGAGTTGGAGTTGGAGGAATTGGATATACTATATTATTCGATGAAATTATAATTTGTGGGAGAAAGAGGGAGAGAACTATAAGTCGCAATAGTTTGTCAAAATTTTGTTAATATTAATTTCGTAATAGTAACAAATTTTAATGAATGTATGTATTTAGAATTAGAAGTCAGAGCACATAGGCAGAATTGGCGAGAAACTAGTCCTCCTTCCTTCTGGAACCCGTGCATTCTGGTCTCTCGTCAAGGCTGTCCAGGAATTTCTGTCAGCCATCTTTTCCATCTCTGCACAGGGAGGACGACTCACTGGCCCATACCGCAAAGGAGAAAGCCGATCTTCTAGGCTCTTTCTTTGCGTCCAACTCGACTCTCGATGACAGGGGGAGTACGCCGCCGACCATCCCGCGGTGTGAGTGCTCCATGCCGGAAGTGCAGTTCACACAGCGCTCGGTTCGCAAAGCACTCCTCTCCCTGGACATCCACAAGTCGAGTGGGCCTGACGGAATCCCCCCAATTGTGCTGAGGACGTGTGCTCCAGAGTTGGTACCGGTTTTAACGCGTCTTTTCCGGTACTCCTACTCCCTAGGCATAGTCCCAAAATCATGGAAGACGGCTTTCGTCCACCCGATCCCTAAAAAAGGCTAACCTACCAACTACCGGCCTATCGCCATCACCTCCTTGTTCTCCAAAACAATGGAGTTCATTGTAAACTGCCAGCTCATGAGGTACTTTGAGGATCACCAGCTGATTAGTGACCGCCAATACGGTTTTAGCCGTGGTCGGTCAGCTGGTGATCTTCTGGTCTACCTAACTCACAGATGGGCGGAGGCAGTAGAGTCCAAGGGGGAGGCATTGGCCGTTAGTTTGGACATTGCGAAGGCCTTCGATCGGGTTTGGCACAAAGCGCTTCTTTCGAAGCTCCCTTCCTATGGGCTTCCCGAGAAATTGTGCGATTGGATCACCAGCTTTCTTGCAGATCGGGGCATCAAGGTCGTTGTAGACAGTGCAAGCTCCGACTACAAGCCTATTCTGGTGTTTCACAAGGCTGCGTGCTATCGCCAACGATGTTTCTTCTGCATATCTATGATATGTTGCAAACCCGTAACATTCATTGCTATGCAGATGACAGCACTAGTGATGCTCTTTACACCGGCCGAGCCAATATTTCTCGGGAAAACGTCTCCGAGTGCCGGAACAAACTTATGTCTGAAGTCGAGTCTTTGCTGAACAGAGTCTCGGATTGGGGGCGACTAAATCTAGTCCAGTTTAACCCCCAGAAGACACAAGTTTGCGCGTTAACCGCTAAAAAGAACCCCTTTGTCGTATCTCCTCAGTTTCAAGGAACTCCCCTTGTTGCCTCAGCCAGTATCGGAATCCTCGGCGTCGACATATCGAGTGACGTGCAGTTTCGTAGTCACTTGGAAGAGAAGGCCAAATTGGCCTCTAAAAAGCTTGGCGTGCTCAGCAGAGCGGGACAGTATTTCATGCCGGCACACCGCCTGCAACTTTACAAGGCGCAGGTTCGGCCGCACATGGAATACTGTTCCCATCTCTGGGCTGGGGCTCCCCAGTACCAGCTCCTTCCACTTGACCGCATCCAGCGCAGAGCGGCTCGAATCGACGACGACCGAGTGTTTTCCGATCGGCTCGATTCACTGGCACTGCGAAGAGATGTTGCATCTCTTTGCATTTTCTTTCGCATATACCATGGAGAGTGCTCTGAGGAATTGTTCGGATTAATCCCAGCCGCCAAATTTCGTGAACGCACTACGCGGCAAACGCCGCGATACCATCAACATCATCTGGATGCTTGGCGGTCCACCACTGTACGTTTCAAGAGGAGTTTTCTTCCGCGTACAACCTCTCTGTAGAATAGTTTACCACCAGCGATTTTTCCGGACCTATACGACCTGGGGACCTTCAAGAAAAGAGCGTACTCCTTTCTAAAGGGCCGGCAACGCACCTGCAATTTAACTGGTGTTGCGGTTGATCATGGGCGGCGGTAGTCACTTGCTCGCCGAGTCGAGCCGCATGCTCGTTTGCCCCCTCTTCTATAAAAAAAAAGAACAACCGTGTAGTGAAGGTGTAAGAATATCCACTACCTTACATTATCTCGTGGGTGTCCCACGAGGTGACCTACGGAAAACAAAACAGGATATGGGCATCAGCATCTTCCTGATAAGAACTTGAAACGTTAAAAACTGCATTTGCCAACCCGACTGCTAAGCGTCGCAACTATGGCAAAATTTTCCTTACGTGACAATCTCATCATCTTCATCATCAAAATCATCATCAAATTTAAGGAGGCCTACGAGTATGTTCTGCAGTGAACTTTTAGAGGATCTAATGAAATGGATTATTTTATACGTGGTAGAGCCATGCTGCAGTTATATTAGTAGTATAGTTGCAGCACGAATGGGTCGGCTCGACCGGGGAAGTCAAATAGTAGCTTAATGCTGATGTGTTTCGTCTGGTGAGTACAGAGAACCGGGGACCCTTTTTACTGGAAACGAGGCATTCTATCTTAGTCCTCACGGGTGACAACGCATCTGCATTTTGATTCGTAATCGAAGATAGATATAGATGTCTATGGGCCACAGCAACCACTTACCATCAGGTGGACTGTGTGCTCGTTTGTCACCCTATCCTATAAAAATGGAATGGTATTTTAATAAACATGACGGCCAATATCTATTTAATCGATGACCGCTTATTAGCGTAGTGCTCAAAGCGTGTGACTATGCTCGGAGTTGTAGGATAATATGCCCGGATAAGTACGCGAACTTTACACAAATTTTTAGTTTTAAAATTTTAATGTTTATTTTCATTTTTAAAGTAAAAGTCGACTGACAACAGTATTTCGTGAGTGTTAAAATGTGATAATTTACATATTAGATACTATAAATTTTCAGATAGTATAAGTTATGTTTATGTTATTTCTTCTGTTTTAATATAATTCAATATACTAATAATTATTTATTACGTTTATTGATAAATATTATTTAGTTAGTAAGGTTAGTAATAACATTTTACAAATTTCATGTCTAAAATGGTCTAACTCTGAATGAACGGAACTTAGAATTTACGGATTTAAGATGGTCTAAAAATGTAGTAACTTTATCTAAAGGTAGAATTGTGAAAGTATCGTCTAGGTACCGTTTATAGAATGTTTTTGTAGAGCCCTCCATGAATATTATCGGCGACAATGGGGATAATGGTGAGCCCATCGTCCCACCATCTACTTGCTTACAGTATTCCTCATTCCACAATAGCTAGCCAGATGTATGAGTAAATCGGATCAAAAATTAACATATTTAAGTGAAGGTCTCTCTATATTAGAATACCAACACATCAGTCTACCCCATGATCATGAGTGCTGTAAAGTAAAATCCGTATAACTTAGTTTTTTTTTTTAAATGTGAAGTGTTCGCGTAAACAAAAAATGTTTATAAATTATTGACATAAATACAAAATGATATAATACATTATTAATAAAAAATAAGTTTTATTTTAACCGTACATTTTACACACATATTTCCATGTTTTTTACTATTATTTGAATTTAGTGTCAATCCCATAACATGTGTTTATAATAGCTTGTCTATTTAATAAAGTGACTAAGCATTTGTCCAATAAGTTGGATATCTGCCGTAGTTGCCATGCTTGGCAGGTTTTGCCAACTGCATCTATTTATTATTTTAAACTGTAATCAGGAAGACGCTGCTGCCTATTTGTGTATTTCTACTCCCTTTCATGAATCAACGCATCCAGCGCAGAGCGGCTCGAATGGTCGAAGACCGAGTGCTTTCCGATCGGCTCGATTCACTGGCGCTGCGAAGAGATGTTGCAAGAGATGATGCGATCAAATGGAAGGAGCTGGCACTGGAGAGCCCCGGCCCAGAGATGGGAACTGTATTCCATGTGCGGCCAAACCTGCGCCCTGTAAAGTTGCAGGCAGTGAGCCGGCATGGAATACTGTCCCGCTCTGCTGAACACGTCAAGCTTTTTAGAGGACAATTTGGCCTTCTCTTCCAAGTGACCACGAAACGACACGTCGCTCGATATGTCGACGCCGAGGATTCCAATTTTAGTTGAGGCAACAATGGGAGTGCATTGAAACTGAAGAGACGCTGCGAAGGGATGTTGCATCTCTTTGCATTTTCTTTCGCATATATCACGGGGAGTGCTCTGAGAAATTGTTCTGATTAATCCCAGCCGCCAAATTTCGTGAACGCACTACGCGGCAAACGTCCGGATACCATCCACACCATCTGGATGCTTGGCGGTCCACCACTGTATGTTTCACAAGGAGTTGTCTTCGGCGTATGACCTTTCTGTGGAATAGTTTACCACCGGCGATTTTTCCGGACCGATACGACCTGGGGACCTTCAAGAAAAGAGCTTACTTCTTTCTAAAGGGCCGACAACGCACCTGCAATTCCCCTGGTGTTGCGTTTGGTCATGGGCGGCGGTAGTTACTTAACATCAGGTGAGCCGTATGCTCGTTCCCCCCTCTTCTATGAAAAATACAGTTCTCATCACACATTCACCTTAACCACTTTTAAGAAATTTTTAAATCCACTTGAATGTAATAAAATACCACCATCTATTTTGTGGTACCAAACAATATTCAATGCGGCCCATGATTTCAATCAATATCGCAAGTAACTATGCAGTGTATTCATAAAAAAAAAAAAAAAATGAAATTCAACATAGTTTTTTCCAAACTGTATCAACTTTAATTATCATTAAATGTAAATAAAGCGTTTCTAATTCCAAGACAATTTACCCTTGTGACACTATAAAATGTCTTAATTGCGTAGTTAGTAGCTTTTAATAGAATTCGAACTATTTTGTACTGAAATACACCACGAACTCAGTGATTAAAATGTTATGTGATTTTATAACAGGGATTTTATTTTTAGGCCTACTTCTCCGTAACCATCGTAACTATGGGACATTTCATAGAAGTCGAACAACGTTACCTTAGTGGCGAAATGAAAGAACCAGAATCAGAAAGTTTTTTGGAACCTGAAAAAATTACTCCAGGTAAGAATAATAAAATATAGTTCATGATCACTTTTATCATCATCTCACCATATAGGAATTCAATTTTAGACTTTATTTGTCTCAATATGTTGCCCGTATTTATCATGATAGTACGTGAACATTTATTTCAAAATCATCTTTGTTATTTTGAGTTTTCCACTAACGGCATTTTAAGAGACAAGTTAAAGGGAATAATTATATTATTTTGTGCTATCAATAAATATAATAAGGACTATTATCAAATTTGGATCACATAATTCTACCATATTACATACAATTATTGAAGAAAAGGGTAAGATAATACAAATATTTTTAGTTCCGAACTTTGATAAACGAGAACACTAAAAAGAAATCACCTTTCGCCTTTCTCATAATGCCTATATTTAAGTAATAAAATAAACAGATTTTTGTTGTTTTGAATACATCAATGAAGTTGTTTTGTCCTTTAAGGTTAAAAAATAAGTTCTGAAACCCTTAGCTTGTTTGAATGTGGATCTAAAATCATAGGACACGTATTTTTCTAGTAAACACTTTTTTTTAAAAACGCTCATAAATGTTGTGAGCCTTTTTCAAGGGGAAGAGATTATTTATAAAGAATTAATTGATGCGGACCTGATACGAGTGAAATAGCGACGATTTAATGTTCTTAGCTTTTTTCAGCCCCTTTTCTTCGTGAGCTGGTTCTTTGGCTTAAATTAATTATAAGGCACTGCTAACTGATTTCGATTAGATTGGTGGAAAGAATTAAGATCCTAAACAAACAAAACGTAAATAAGGGTCTTAATTATGATGATCACTCCATAAATTTAATAAACATCCTTTAATCCGTTTTTCGAAAGATCCTTTTGCTTTTCTTTAGCATCTTAGCTCATTGATTTTTAACACCCTCACCATTATTATTAATTTTTAATATGGATTAAAAAATTGTCAGTTCGCTTTTATCATTAAGAAATAAATTTTTATATCGGTATAAAGAGTTAAAGCAAAACATCGCAGTTGTGTACTGCGTCACGGAGCCGTCAGTAATGTTACGGCTCCGTCACGCAGTGGCTTAGCAGTGAGTGACTGCGGCTGCGCTAGGGACCGCGAGTACGAATCACACACGGAATAAGTATTAGTATGGCCCACAAATAATTATTACGGGTCTTGATGTTCGTCCTTATGCAATTTATGTTTGTAACTATCTCCACAGTGGGGGTAACGTTTTTTTTTCTAATAAAGACAAAAGACTTAGCTCGTGACAGTTTCCTTCTTTAATATTTCTTCTTAAGTTGACGCCACTAACCTCTATATATACAAGTACGCTAGACTGGCTATACACCGTGACATGATGAGTCGGTTTATTATTTGCGCCATTTTGGCGCTAATAGCAGAAGTGAACGTCCACAAAACTAATAATAGAGATAAGACAGTGTGACAAATTATATCGATAAAAATTCTATACCCTATCTATACCTAAATAAAGAGAATGAACTTTATGGATAAATGACCTCTACTCGTAACGTTGTTCCTTTATGTATCATATTAATATAATGCCATTATCATTCGTCATCATTAAAGCCCTTCACAAGTCCACAGCCTAACATAGGCCTCCCCCAAGGAATGCCACAAAGCACGGTTCTGAGCCAACTGAATCCATTAACTTCCTGAATGTCTTACCAGGTTGTCACTCCATATAGTGCGACGAAGTCCTACACTTCACCTGCCGGTACGAGGCTGCCACTCGAGAACCTTTCATCCCCATCGGTTTTATATATATCGGCTATAAGGCCGGTCTATTGCCACTTCGTCTTACTAATCCGTTGGGCGATGTCAGTCACTCTAAGTTTATCACGCAGAGAAACCCCGAGTATAGCCCTCTTAATAGCTCATATAGCTGAGGGGAAGGTGTGTCGCAATTTCCTGAACGATGCCCAGCCGACTTGAAATCGTCGATTGACCTCTCGGTCGAAGTTGGACGTACCTAGTCGGACTATTTGTCCCAGGTAAACGTACTTGTCAACAACTTCGAGATTAGCACTCCCAACAACTACCGGCATAGGTGTAACATGGACATTAAACATGATCTTTGTTTTGTCCATGTTCATCTTAAGACCTATCCGTTGGGAGACACTATTGAGGTCATTGAGCATAGTGCTTAGGTCCTCTAGTGATCCTGCCATAAGGACTATGTCGTGTGTATGTACTCACCATTGACGTCAATACCGTATCCTTTCCGGTCCAGTAGCTTAAAACCGTCTTCCAATGCAGCGATTAAGAGTTTCGGGGATATAACGTCACCCTGTCTTACACCTATCTGCAGTTGGATAGGTTTCGTACTCTGGTTCTGTACTCCGATAGCCATCGTAGTCCTACTGTACAAACACTTCAGTACTTCGATATACCGACAGTCCAATTAGCACCGCTAAAGGAACTTTAGCACCGGCCAAATTTCGATAGAATCAAAGGCTTTTTCATAGTGCACATACGCCAGGCAAAGTATCAGATTGTACTTTTCCGATTTCTGTAAAATCTGCCGCAGGGTATGTATGTGGTCTATAGTGCTAAAGTCTTTTCGGAAACCGGCTTGTTCGGGAGGCTGGAAGTCGTCGAGTCTGCGTGCGAGACGATTCGTAATGACTCTCGAAAACAGCACGTAGACGCGGCTCAGAAGGGATATCGGTCTGTAGTTCTTCAAGAGAGCATTGTCACCTTTCTTGAAAAACTTGTTCTTCAAGAAAGGTGACAAAGGTGACAAGGTGGTCTTCACCACCGCACGTCTGCTCCACGTCTTGGAGTAGTGCCACTATGAAGGACAGAATTAAAGAGCTTCTGAAGGACCTCAAGTACCGGTTTTCCACCCACTTTCAGAGGCTCCGCTGTAATTCCATCCTTGCAAGTACCCAGACTTGCCGTTTTTAAGGTGCTAGAGAGCCATTCTAATATCGCTCAGACTGACGTCCGGGATATCATTGGAATAGTGTCGGATAAGACTTTTTCTTAGATCGCTACTCACAATTGCGTTTGGCTCCGACGATGATAGCTGCCCACCGAACCTCTCAATCTCACTCAAAATCTCAGGTTTCGAGAGAGTGGAAATTACCTTTTGACAAATATGCATCTATTTATTCTAATTAAACGTATTATCTACAACAAAATATTAAAAGGAAACTTGCACGTGAATTAGTTGATGTTGTACGTTCAGATGTCAACGAATCAGGAATAGTGATAGTCCGTCATCTGGTAGAATAGATGGTAATTGATGACTGGAAAATCAGTTTATCATTGTTCATTATTTGAAGTGGAGAAATCTGAGCTTCATTTCACTACGCCTACACACACACGACCAACCATACTACATATTAAAAATTCTACGGGTGGCGTCGGAAATTACATCTTAGTCCTCATGGTTGGCAAAGCATTTGCAATCTGTAGAGGTTTGTTGTTCTTGAGTTCGTAAATGTCTACGGGCCACAGCATAATTTCCATCAAGTTTCCATCAGGAGCCTTCCCCGTGATACAAAAAAAGTTTATGGAACAAATGTGTTATGTGTTATTAAAGTTGGCTTGATGCTCTCAACCCAGTCAACTTCTATTTTTCGCCTACACTTGAAAATCAGAGAGTCTAGAAATTATCTGAGCAAATAATAACAATTGTGGGAACTCAAATAAGCCAGTAAGTTATTACAGAAGTACTTGCATATATCCCTTTGACTCTGATCGTTAGGAAACCTGCAAACCTGCCTGTCGAAGTTCAAACTTACAAATTTTAATATAATACTCGTAAGTATTGTATTAAATTTAAATTGATGCAATTTTAATATTAAATTTTAATATAATTGAGCTCACAATATAAATTAAATAATTCGAAAAAAAAATATTTTGCCTTTTTTACAAACCGGTATATAAAAACTATCGCTCGGTGACAGCAAAAAAACGACAATTCGGCACTTTTGTAGTCGCACAACTAAATTTAGTGTAGTGAAAAGGCTTTTTTATCATGTTGATATCACCGACCCAGTCAGGGGCTAGTGCCCGCTCAGATATATTTGTTGTTCGAGGTTGATCGTACGTTGTTTGTTATAAAATTCTCGTCGCGTTGTTAGTGCTTTTCACTCGACAACTGAGGAGAGTGAGGTAACGTTTTTAATCGTAAATATCGTGCTACAAGACGGTCTTAAAACATATATTGAGAAGCAAAAAATGTGAGCACAATACTATAAACTTTTGTATACATTAGAATTGTCAGTTTCATAGAGAGAATACATGTATGTTCTAAAATATAGCGATATTTTTTATTAGTTTAGGTCAGCTTTTAGAGGGGTATGTTTCGTTCATTTCAAAGTTTTTTTTATACTTAAGATTTTTACTTCTATACGCATGCCGTCAACTTTATCAAAGTTAACCATTGTCAACATTTAAAAATTTTGTGAAAATAATAGTCAGCTCTTAAGTTACATAGCAAAGCTCAGTTACTACTGCTCTCGAAGCTATGGCTTTGGATCATACTTTAGAACATGTCCATTTTTACTTTTAAACCTTTTATAAAAGTCTGACCAATGTCCTTTACATAATAATATGTGAGTGATATTTAAGGCGTAAGCACAAAAAGAACCGTAATCGATAGTATCGAAAGAAATACGTAACAATCTGTGAATGTTATTTCAAAGAACTTTCGTGATTAGTACACAAATCTAGTATTATCTTAGTTCTTACAAGTTTGTTTTATTAAAAACATTCCATAAAATTTATTTTTAGAATTAGAACTCAGCTGTGTTCTGTTTTAGTGTTTGTTTTGGCACCTCGTTTAATGAATCTTTTATGACGATAATTTAACGTTGCAGATTGCAATCTCTTGAGACCAAGTTAAAGATTAAAAATGACGTTTTATTACAAAGAGAAAATTAAAACAAGACTTAATTACTTTCAGTATGATGATGAAATTGGTAACTATTAAAATTAAATAACTTGCAATTTCTTATCTGAAATTACACCATATTATGTTAATTATACGGTAGAAT